ACCTTGTGGGGGAGGCCCTTCGGGCTCCTCAGAGCAGAGCCTTACTCTCTCAGACTGTGTTTGCAGATTCCTACCTTAGATGGGAAGTGGAAACCCCATGAAACACCTGGCCAGGTAGAGCCAGGTGAGGCCACACCTCGCCCAGACAAGTTGGAGGCCCAAGAAAACAGCGCAGTCAGGGGTAGGGCAGTGTAGATCGGGGCAGTGATTCTATTTTGATGCTGGGCCAACGGGCAGGTCTCTGGCTGAGCTCAGAGGCACTGCCCACCTCGATACAGGCCCTGTTTACACCAGGGCGCAACTGGCTTCTTTATTTTCCCAAGCTGAGGCCACCTATGTTGGTTTTGGAGTTTAAATCTGCGTGGGGTCTCCGCCCGTCTTTTTTGTTTGTTTGTGTCAGTCTTTAAAGCTCAAGATTTGCTCTCAGGTTTGGACGAGGCTATCTGGCTGCCCGAGCCGATCCCGACCTGTGACGCCAGGGAGCTGGCAGAAGCCGCGGCAGCAAACCGGTCACTGCTGCCGGCCCTGCCGCTCCTTGTCTGTCCCCCGCCCCACCAGCACCCCCTCTGCACCCCCTCTGCATCGGTAGGAGAGAGGTGCTCAGAGAGGTGCGATGACCTGCTGACCCCTAAATCTTCGGCGTTCCCTCTCTCAGTCTTGATGAGAGGACTGCACCCCTTCCCTGGCCCCAGCTTCTTCCCCGAGCTTCACGCCTCATTGGAACTGAGCTCCTGGCTCCAATGAGCCCAGCAAACGCAGACCACGTGCCCACTCTGTGTAGGGCCCTCCACCAGGCTCAAGGCAGAGAGGTTGAGTGGGTGGGCAGGGATACAGAGGTGAGCAGCGCACGTCCCGTCTCCTGCCTCCCAGGGGGCCCCCCACACCCTCGGGTTCTCCAGAGACTCTCCTTGCTCCCAGCCCACGGCCCAGAGCCCGCTTGGTCCCATTACCTCGTGGTTCCATCCCTGGGGGCGGCCTGACTCAGGGGCAGCAGCAGCAGCAGCACGAACATCATCGTCCAAGGTGACATCTCTCCTGGAGCTGGAACAGGGAACACCTGCCCTAGGAGCAGAGTGAGGGGGTCAGGGGGAGGGGTGTCTGCACAGAGTGGGGATCGGTGGGGTCCACGGGAACGTCTCCTCTCCCTGCCTCCACCTCTCCCTGCAGCCCAGGTGACAGGACACAGGGACATCAGTGACCCCCCCACCCCTCCACCCCCCCTCCCCGTGGAACTTTGCTCAAAGTAAATTTGACTCCAGATCCAGGTGTAAAGGGCACGAAGACCCGCCCTGGAAGGGGGCGGTGGCAGGAGCCCCTCCCACACCCGGTCCTCTGGCCCTGCAGCGCGAGGGGCTGGGAGGAGGCCGTTCAAGTACATCTGGTTCAGTTCACTCGCTTCACAGAGGAAACCAGCTCAGAGAGGTTAAGAAAAGGGCCAAATTGGAAACGCAGAGAGAGAGACAAAAAGACCAAGACTTAGAGAGGCAGGTTGTTGGGTTGTATTTATTAAACCTCACCGAAGAACAAATCAAAAGAGGCGCAGACTCCTTGAAACAGGTCTAAACTCAGGTAGGGATTGAAAACACAACAAACCAACAGTAGCCCCAGGAACTGGTACTTACGAAGTGCAAGTAGGAAATCAGATCCCAATATGAAGGAAAAACCAAAAACTTCCCCTTAGACCTACACTGTGCAGGCCCATTGGCAACAAAGCCACTTGATGACAGAGAAACAGTCAGAGAGAGAGGAGCAGGAAGCTTCCTGATTGGTCCCGGGTGTGGGCACATAGCTGAGCGTTCCTGAGGAAGCAGGAGCAGCAAAGCCGAGACCCGAGACCCTCTGCCCATCTCTAGGAGGCGAATCACTGGTCCAGGCAGGGGATGAGGAACCCCCTGAAGCGGTGCCCTGCACACTGGCTGGCACTGAATTTTTCTGGAGAAAGGTTCACAGCGTTTAGTGCAGTGGTTCTCAACCTTCGGGCCCTTTAAATACAGTTCCTCATGTTGTGACCCAACCACAAAATTATTTTCGTTGCCACTTCATAACTGTAATGTTGCTACTGTTACGAATCGTCATGTAAATATCTGATATGCAGGATGGTCTTAGGGACCCTGTGAAAGGGTCGTTCGACCGCCAAAGGGGTCGCGACCCACAGGTTGAGAACCGCCGGTTTAGTGGCTTCTCCAAGAGCACCAGGACCCCGACAAGGTTCAGAACCACTGCAAGGGGTGGCAATGCTTCCTAAGGGGTGCGGAAGAGCAGGGAGCCCCTGGTTAACAGGGAGATACGGGTGGGAGCCTGGCCATGGCTGTGCCAGCAGAGCTGCCCGCGAAGCACAGCTAAGCCTGGAAGTCCTCACGAAGATGAAGCTGCCGAGAGTCCTAGGACCCGTGTTCAGTTTCCTATGCATCCGTTGACCCCAAAGGATATAGTGAGTCTACACAGTTGGTCCACAATCGCCAGTGGCCAGATGGGTTCCGAAGCCACAGCTGCCCAAAGGTGTTCGCAAACATCGGCTGGCAACATAGGTCCTTGTGCTTTAGTTGTTGGACCCGGGAGAGAACATAAGGTCCTGGGCCCCTGCAAGGGAGGCAGCTGGAGCCGAGATCCTCTGAGTAACTGGGGACCCTCGGAGGTCGCACCACAGTGGACACCCCCCGGTAGAAGAGTGGACTAGAGAACTATCCGGGCCTCATGTCCGGGAGTCTGCTGGTAAACGTCCCAGTGAAAGTAACTGCAGAGCTGGGCAAAAATAGAAAGTATCTTTTCAAATGTGATGAGTTGGCAAGAAAGTAAGAAATTCTCAGTACGGAAGCAGTAAAACCAGTCATCTCGAGGAAAAGTGAGCTTGTAGTCAGCCTTTGCCTTAAGAGTTTTGGCCAAACGCAACCCCGGTGAACTAGAGCTATCAGTTTGAGTGCTGTGTGCAACAGAGGAGACCAGAGAGAAAGCCTGGACCATGCAGGGTGAGGAGACTAACAGGAGAGCCCAACAGCTCAGCTCTCAATCGAAGGATGAGCAGAAAGGAAGAAGCGCAGCACAGAGTCCTGCTTGTTTGGACCTTGGTGCTGAGTAGAAAGGAGAAAAACATCCTCCCTGAGAATGTGTGATAAGCCTGCTCTAATGTGGGTTCGAGGCCAAATTAATGCTACCTCTTTGCTCAAAACCCTACGCAGATCATTTATTTTGAAGTGGCCCCTGGTTGACAGTGCCCCCAGTTGACTGACAGAAGAAAATGCCCACTTTGTCTGAAGGAACACAACTCCAATCCAAGGTTCAAAGAAGCTCCATAGGTAAAGGTTCAAGGAGCATGAACTCACAGCTAAAAGTCATAAACATACGAGGAAATAAGACACTGTGAATAAGAGCCAGGTAAACAGCAGGCAAACACCAGAGTTGTGAAAACTAAAGATATTACAATTCTCACACACATGACATAAAGAATATTTAATACATTTTAAGAAATTAAAGAGAAGCTTTCAACTCTGAGGAAGGAATAAGAACATAAGACCAAGTGGATGTGAAGATGAACCAACTATAACGTATGCAAATATAAAGAAAAGATGGATTTAAAAAAATACAATGAGTGAGTTACACAGATTAGACACCGATGATGTGAGAATTAATGACATGCAGATATGCACCTGGGAGCCCTGAGCCACCATGGCAGAGGTCTGGCGGCCCTGAGGCCACCATGCTGAAAAGGCCAAGTAAAGAAACATAGAGATGCCAAACCGGTTTGGCTCAGTGGATGGAGCGTCGGCCTGCGGACTGAGGGGTCCCGGGTTCGATTCCGGTCAAGGGCATGTACCTTGGTTGCGGGCACATCCCCAGTGGGAGGCGTGCAGGAGGCAGCTGGTCAATGTTTCTCTCTCATCGGTGTTTCTAACTCTCTATCCCTCGCCCTTCCTCTCTGTAAAAAATCAATTAAAAATATATTTAAAAAAAAAAGAAACATAGAGATGCCTGAGGAGCCCCAGCCATTCGGGACTCCAGCTGCTCACACCTTCCCAGCCCCGGGACCACACAGGTGAGAGAGCAAACCTTCAGGTGATCCCAATCCCCGGCCTTCAAGCTGCCTCAGCCAACACAGAATGCAGCAGAAATGTACTTGTTTCCACGCCCTGCCCAGACTGCACGCTGTGAGCAAAGGCAATGTTCTTGTGCTCAGCCACTAAGGTTTGAGGTAATCTGTTAAACTGTCACAGTAATTTTTAAAAAATATTTCTTTATTGATTTCCAAGAGGAAGGGAGGGAGAATCAGAAAGATCAATGATGAGAAAGAATCCTTGACCAGCTGCCTCCTGCACGCCCCCTACTGGGGATCGAGCCCTTGACTGGAATCGAACCTGGGACCCTTCAGTCCACAGGCCAATGCTCTATCCACTGAGCCAAACCAGCTAGGGCTATCACAGTAATTTTTGTTTTAATCCTCACCTGAGGATATTTTCTCCATTGACTTTTAGAGAGAGAAGGAGGGAAGGAGGAGGGAGAGAGAGAGAAACATCAATGTGAGAGAGACACATGGATTGGTTGCCTCCCACATGACCAGGGCAGGAATGAACCTGCAACAGAGGTACAGAGGTACGTGCCCTTGACCAGAAATTGAACCCGAGACACTTCGGTCTGCGGGCCGATGTTCTAACCACTGAGAAAACCGGCCAGGGCATCACAGTAATTAGAACTGGTTTAATGAGTGTATGGCCTGTTCTAGGAAGGGCCCTGTGCTTAGTCTAATGCTCTGCTCTCATCGTCTTGAAATTCTTAATCTTATTTTAGCACTGGGCCCTGAAAAGTATGTACTTGGTCCTGAACACTGCCCACATGAATTGCTATCACTCTCCTCTTCGGTCTATGTATCTTCACATTTATGCAGTTATTCAGTATGTGCAATTGACAGAGAACAGAGCTTTGGAACCAGCCAGACTTAGGTTTGAATCCCAGGCTCACCACACTGTCCCTAATTAACTTGGGGAAGTTAATTATCCTCACTAAACTTTAGTTATCTTATCTGCATAATGTAGAGAGTACTTACATCATAGGGTTAGAGTGAATATTAATTGGGTAATGAATTACTTCTTGCACAAACTAATGAGTAGCCTCTCATTCTTGTCCCTGCCTGTGCTATCTTCTCCATTTGTTTTGGTTTTATTCTTTTTTTCTATCTTCTCCATTTAAAGACCCCTCCATACTTATATCAGATTACTCTTCCTTTGCTGGAACTCCACTGCTCCAAAACCTTCAATGGCTCCCTATTTCTATTACAGCCCAGAGTCCTCACCTGGGCATTCAAGACCTTCTACAATCAGATATCAAGTTACCATGTTAGACTCATCTTCCAGTGCTCCCTCACACTAACATTTTGCTTCGGGGTTAGTGGAGTCTCCTGACATACTTTTCACTTTCACTATTTTTTTTTGTTTTTTGGGGTTATTGGTTTTTTTTGTTAATCCTTACCCGAGGATATTTTTCCCCATTGATTTTTAGAGAGAGTGGAAGAGAGAGGGAAAGACAGAGAGAGACACATGGACTGGTTGCCTCCTGCATGCACCCCGACGAGGGCCCAGGACGGGGAGGAGCCTGCAACCAAGGTACGAGCCCTTAACCAGAATCGAACCCAGGACCCTTTGGTCCACAGGCCGACACTCTGTCCGCTGAGCCAAACCAGCCAGGGCTTTTCACTTTCATTTTCAGAGTTTTTGCCCGAGCTGTTCCACCCTCTCCCTGGAATATCCCGGGCCCTCGTGACGGCCTTCACATTCTGGTTGTAGTGCACTTCACAAACTTAAGTGCTGTGGACTTTTCCTGTCATCTAATAATATTCTCTCAAGTCATGCTTCCAACGGTGACATTTTTGGTACAGGTAACCCGCCTCCCTCCATTATTTAAAGGAAGCCAGGCTCCGCCTGGTCCGCGCGGCTCAGTTGGTTGAGCACTGACGGTGTGCTGAACGGTTGCCAGTTTGATTCCTGGGTAGGGCACATGCCTGGGTTGTGGGTTTGACCCCCAGTCAGGGAGTGTACAGAAGGCAACCAATCAATGTTTATCTCTCTCTCTCTCCTTTCCTCTCTCTAAACTTGTCCTCAGGTGAAGATTAAATAAATAGATAAAGGAAGGAAGTCAGGCTAAGGCACTTCTAGTAATGAGTAATGAGGTGGGCATAATGCGATTCATTCACACACATTTCTAAGTATTTACAAAGCATTTGTAAGCAACAGAAATAAAGCAATTATTGAACCACTGCCTGTCAAATAAAAATGTTCCTAATCATTTTCTAAACCATATGTGTAAACATAATTTACCCTAATGGCCACATGAAAACCACCACAACTGCCGGTTAACCGTTGCGATGTAATTCAGTCAAGTTATTCACATCCTACACATACGCGTGTGCGCGCACACACACGTGCGCACACACACACACGCACACTCACACATGCACGCAGACACACGTGCACTCACACACACATTCCCAATGACCCTCTGGCCTCTGCTTTCTTCAAGCCTTTGTGCCTGTGCATGAGGCGAGCGGCCTTGGGGTTAGACCTCCGATCAAATCCTGCCTCTCACAGGCTAACGGGGTGGTCTGGGCAGGTGTCTCTGGCCCTGGGATCTTCATTTTAATAACCCAGGGCAGCACCTCTCGTAGGGGGAAGGGGCGGCTGCCACACGATGATGTAGGTTAGCTAATGGCTGGCAGCGAGCAGATGCTTCTTGAGTTCAGAGTCTCTAGGATGTGGCAGGGCCTTTGGCCTCGCATCCAGTGCAGAATGTCTCCCCCTGCGCCCCGTCCAAACCATTCGGCCTCGCTCCACTTCAGGACAGGAGCCTGGCACCCACAGGGCATCCATTCATTTCTTGCTAATTCTGTCAGGAAGTTATTTGGAACAGAATCCTCTCCCTTAACTTATCTCTGGTGCCGCCGGTGCTCCCAGCATCACCCCCACTCCCATACCTCTACCCCACTCCCCCACCCCACACCTCACTCCGCTCCCCCCCCCCCCAAGAGAAGAGTGTGTGTCTTACCCCAAAGGGGGCCCTCGTGGTAGCTGGTCCCAGCCTGCCCCCGCCCCGCAGGGGGGGTCATCCCCCCGCCCCCGTATCCCACTCCTGCTTTTGGAATAAAAAGGTGATTCCAGCGGGCTCCTCCTCCCAGAGCTT